GTTATTCAGTTGTATTATGTTAATGTCCTCAATCTTTTTACGCAGATAATTCACCTCTATAACTAAAACACAGGAACTGCATGTATTCCCAGAAAATCATGTCATTTACGTCAGTAGGTTAGCCTCATTGTTAAACAAACAAACAAACAAACAAAAAAAAACACTGCAATTCTCTATGTTACCAGATTAGCACTTATTCTCGCTATCTCAGTTCCCCAACAAGTCTGGCCAGTTAAACACGTGAATTATGTTGTCGTAAGCCAGATCAACTTCACAATCTGTGATATTAGCTTCTCCCCAAGCACACTTGTAAGAGATGCTTGACGTGATGTAGAAGACTCCCCACTTTTATGGACAGTTTTCTGATAATATAGGCTTTGCTATTCAAAAAGGCAAAATATTTTTTTGAATAAATATATAAATACAAAATGATAATTTCCAAATACTTACTTAGCATTTTGTCAGATATAGAAACAAGAGAAATACAACAACGTCAAAATGATTTGTAAAAATACAGCATAGTCAACTGTAGTTGGGTTCAACATTGCAATAACTTTGTATATGATTTGTCTCAGGGATAATTGTTGGATTCAACATCGTAACAGCTTTGTACATCATTTGTCTCAGGGATAATTGTTGGGTTCAACATTGCAACAGCTTTGTATATGATTGGTCTCAGGAATAATTGTTGGGTTCAACATCGGATGTTGAATCCAACAATTATCCCTGAGACAAATGATGTATAAAGCTGTTGTGTCAAATATTTAGAATGAGATAAACTTACCAAAATGTCAAATATTTAGAATGAGATACTTATCAAAGTGTCAAATATTTAGAATGAGATAAACTTACCAAAATGTCATATATTTAGAATGAGATAAACTGAAATACACTCATTAAACTGTCCAATACATCAGGGTAAAATCCTTATACTTGAATGTTGAATACTTTTACATCAGTTTTGATGTGAGATAATTGAGATAAATAGTGTGATCAATGAGAGAAATTATCCCTGAGACAAATGATATACAAAACTGTTGTCTTTGATAAATGTATCTTATTCTGAATATTTGGCATCTTGGTAAGTATATCTTATTCTGAATATTTGACACTTTGATAAATGTATCTTATTCTGAATATTTGGCATTTTGGTAAGTTTATCTTATTCTAAATATTTGGTATTTAGTAAGTGTATTTTATCCTGAATATTTGGCATCTTGGTAAGTATACCTGATCCTGAATTTTTGTAATTTTGGTAAGTGTATTGCACTTTAAAGGTTTATCATTGAAACGAGTTTATCTAATTCATTATCAAGTACGTGTATCTTTATAATAAATATTGAGCTTAGTGTATGACACATGTAATATTCCAAATTGAGCCACATTTATAATGGACTGTGATTCATGTTCCTTAATAAACTTCGTTTTAGGTTTTTGAACATTGGGGTCATTGAAATAGTTTATATTTGTTTAATACAAGTAAAAACATGTTATCCTGCCCTAATTTGTTCCATGAATATTTTAAAGGTGTTGTGTCCACAGCAAGGCAAAACTAGACGTTCTACCATTGTACCGCTTAGAGTTAAACTTGATATGTACACTTACTTGTATGTAGTAATTTTTTTCTCTTGTAAAAAGGAGAATATTAAGTATAAAGTAACAGGAAGACACGTACTCATAAATATAGTCATACAACACCTGTTTTCTAGCATGAATACCTGATAGTAGGAAGACACGTACACGTAAATAGTTATACAGCTCTTCCTTTCCAGCATAATACCTGATAGCAGGAAGACATGTACAAGTAAATATAGTTATACAGCTCTTGTTTCTAGCTTAAGTATGTGATAGCAGGAAGACACGTACACGTAAATATAGTTATACAGCTCTTGTTTCTAGCTTAAGTATGTGATAGCAGGAAGACACGTACACGTAATATCGTTACACAGGTCTTGTTTCTAGCTTAATTATGTGATAGTAGGAAGACACGTACACGTAAGTATAGTTATACAGCTCTTGTTTATATTAAGAGATCTGCCTTGGATGTGCCAAAATCCTTCTTGTACTAGTGAAGATATGCAGGAGGGTAAAAGTTTTACTTAAAACTACTGTCCCATATATGTATCTTAACAGGTCAACAGAGGTACCTGACTTACTGTTTATGTTGGCCATATATTCTTCACCAGCCTGTAACAAATTTTCAAATTTAATAAGTCTTCTATTAAACTGTTATTTGAATCCAGAAAGTTGAAGCGTTAGTTTCTTAGAGCTGGTATAACTCAAAGCATTTGTCCGAAATATTATAAACCGTTTTGACGTTAGTTTTTTAGAGCTGACATAATCCCAAAAAATCTGTTCGAAATATTAAAATCCTTTTCCATATTAGTTTCTTGGAGCTAATATAACCAAAAACATGTGTTAGAAATATTACAAACCCTTTTCACGTTAGTTTCTTAGATCTGGTATAATAACAACAACGGTAAAAATATCTGTTATTTATTTATTTATTAGATTTTAATGTCCGGTACAATACTTTCTAATAGACAAGGCTGAGTTAAAATAAAATATAATGACCTTACGATCTCGAAGCCTTAAGAAGACAGCACTAAACATCAGAAAAATATCACCTCTCTCTCTTTGCTGAAACAGACAGTTAATAATGATATATATATATATATCCCTATCGTTTTATTATTATTATTTTTGTGCCTAAGTTCAGAATTAATTTTACATAATTATTTGCGAATCCTAGAACGTTTAACAAGTAGGTGAATAGAGCCAATTGTTTTAACAAGTAGGTGAATAGAGTATTTACCTACTTGTTAAAACAATTGGCTGTATTCACCTACTTGTTAAAACAATTGGCTCTATTCATCTACTTGTTAAAACAATTGGCTGTATTTACCTACTTGTTAAAACAATTGGGAGCCAATTATTTTAACAAGTAGGTGAATAGAGCCAATTGTTTTAACAAGTAGGTGAATAGAACCAATTGTTTTAACAAGTAAGTGAATAGAGCCAATTATTTTAACAAGTAGATGAATAGAGACAATTATTTTAACAAGTAGGTGAATAGAGCCAATTTTTATCTTGAAAATATTAAAATGTTGAGAATTCGAATCTTGAAACTAAGCATTGATATGCATTTTCTTGAAAAATGTTTTCCTTCATATCAGAAACTGTTTCTTCCTTCAAAAAACAAACAAACAAAAACTAGTAATTTTACAGGGTGTTGGGTACCAACTGCCCGATGAATACCACAGGGACTCTCTGTATATTTACAGAAGTAAAAATTGTCACGACTTTACTTTTTGCTTCTTTCACTCTAAAATCAAAGCAGCTTGATTAAGCTTCGTGTTTAGAATGAATCAAACCGAAGTCTGTAGTTATGCTATACATCGATATCTTATAAATGTCAATATATTCTCCATACATCATCTTTTCAGTTTTGTTCTCAAAACTTTTGAAGTTTCACTATTTTATTAGTGTAAAGTACTTTCTAATAAACTCTTATTATTATTCACTGTTTCATCCAATAAGTTTATGTGGAATTCTAAAAAAAGGAGCTCAATTGTGGATTATGCCAGGGAAAAATCTAAAACTATGAATGGAAAGTTTAAGGAATACTTCTTCGTAAGTGAGATATGATTTCGTGATAGGTGGGTCTATGCAACATTACATCACAAGAGGAAAAATGTGGCGTTTTGAAAGGTAGGTGGTATATGTAATATTACACCAGAAGAAGAAAGATGTGGTGTTTTGAAAGCTAGGTGGTCTACGGAATATTACGCCACAAGAGTAGTGTCTTGAAAAATAAGCCTACGGAATATTACACCACAAAAAGAAAAATGTGCCGTTTTGAAAGGTAAGTGGTCTATGCCTTATCACACCACAAGAGGAAAAATGTGGTGTCTTAAAAGGTAGGTGGTCTACGGAATATTACACCACAAGAATAAAAATGTGGTGTCTTGAAAAGTAGGCCTACGGAATATTAACCACAAGAGGGTAAATGTGACGTCACGATAGGTAGGACTACGGAACATTACACCATAAGAGGAAAATGTGACGTCATAACAGATAGGCCTATATAATATTACATAGTAAGATGAAAAGATATAATTTGACAGACAGAGTAGTACTCTAGCAGAGAATTACAATTCTTTCATCTTCGTAATTTACATTGAATTAAATTCATCCAAAGTGTAAGTTATCAAGGACTGGTGGAAACCTTTGTTCTATTCTGTGTGGTAATAAATTCAATCGTTTCATCACTGTTACTTTGCAGTTAAATCTTATTCGAAATGGTTCTTGAAAATGTGAATTTTTTTATAAACCCGTAAAATATGGATGGAAATATGTTAGTGATTTCACTGGTTTTTTCATGTTCGATATTAAAGTTCTAATACAAAGTTTCTCATTAAAACGAAAAATTTAATTCCACTTTTTGCGTTTTCTTTTTCTGTGTATTTTCTGACAGCTTGAAACGAAATGATTCTCTTTTCAATCTGTTGTCTTGATACGACGAACTACAGAAAAAACAAAAGAATTGAAAGAATTAAGGTTAAGGTAGAGGAGTTCTGAATTATTATGAATTGTAAAGAGTTTAATTTTGGAAATTGGTTGCTAAAGCAAAAGATTATCCCATGTTTTTATAAATTGGCAAAATTGATCCTGTTCGAATTGTAAAAAATAATCACAATAAAATCTATACACCTAAAGAACAAGCAACTCTAAATCCAACATAAAAATAATAGAAATGATGAAATAGTATGTGATAAGTCACATCAATAACTGGGGTTGTGTTTCAATAAGGGTTTTACTTACCACATTAACTTGGGTTGTGTTTTAATAAAGGTTTTATTTACCACACTAACTTGGGGTTGTATTTCAATAAGCGTTTTACTTACTACTTTAACTTGGGTTGTGTTTCAAGAAAGGTTTTATTTACTACGATAACTTGGGGTTGTGTTTTAAAGAGGGATTTTACTTACCACGATAACATGAGGTTGTGTTTCATGAAAGGTTTTACTTATCATAATAACTTGAGGTTGTGTTTCCAAAAGAGGATTTACTTACCACAATAACTTGAGGTTGTGTTTCCAAAAGAGGTTTTACATCTTGTATATATATATTTCGAACCTTGGTGTTTGTCCAAGCGTTCGTCTGCCTCTCGTTTGAAAAGCTGCGCTCGCAGGCAAAGCTTAACATTCACTTTTGAAATGACGGGAGAATAGGCATGAATAATATCGATGCCAAATTTTATTTCGAAGCAGGATATTCTACACTAAATTGTTAAGATTTAACCACACCATCATTTCAAAATCTGACGTAACTTAAAGAATAAAAATGTAGATCACCGTATGTTATAATTGAAAAGCTCTTAGCATGATTGAAATACTCAACAATTACTTTTCGCAGAGGGCGGTATAAGTAGCTCACTGCTTTGGCTCCGAGTGAAACCAAGAATGCAACACATCTAACCTTTTTAAACTCCATGAAATAATTTAAATTGACAGATTAATTTTAACTTTTCACGTCATTGGGGACGGGTACTTTTGCTAAATTAACTTAAACTTTCTCGTCACTGGGGACGGGTACTTTGTTACATTAACTTAAACTTTCGCGTCACTGGGGACGGGTACTTTTGCTAAATTAACTTAAAATTTCACGTCACTGGGGACGGGTACTTTTGCTTGTATCGCAATAACACGAAGTTGTGCTTAAAGAAAGGTTTTACTTACCACAGTAACTTAGGATTGTGTTTCAAAAAGGTATTTTACATATCACAATTTTCAATCTTGACAAAACATAAACTGCTGTCCTTTTTTCTTTAAAATGCTGCCTAGTAATTATTTATAGACTTTTGGAAACTTTCTGTTTATAAATAACACTTATAACAATTAATGATCGCTAACGTCTCTTAAAAAATCGTCATTTTACGTGTGTTAACAGCAGGGGATTCATGAGTTTTGTACGCTCGTGAAAATAGCGAAATTTATAAACGACTGCTAATCATTTCATACGTACGTTTAATGAAGTTTTTATGACACGCTCGTAACAGTTTCTCTAGTTGTGGTTGTTTTTATACGATTTACTCTCCTGCTTGGGTGGAAGTAATAACTTCATCTTCACTCTCCTGTAATTACAAAAATGGAAAAGTTTTTAATCCTTGATATTGATTAAATAATTATTTAAAAAATTAGGCGACAAAGATAAGTTATCTACACCAGGGTAATTTGGAAATACTTTGGTTTATAAACCAAAGTGTGGATATTTTAATTGGTGAAAAGTTTTTAATATGTTCCATTCACAACAGTAAAAGATACAATATTTCCAAAGTAGAATTTCAACAATGAATTGGTCTTTGCTATACCAGTGTTCAGACGCACGTGGTAAGTTTTTTTTTTGTTAAGCACAGAGCTACACAAAGGGTTATCTGGGCTGTACCTACCATGTGTATCAAAACCCGATTTTTAACGTTATAAGTCTTCAAATTTACTGCTGAGTCATGTGGGCAAGGAGGTTATCGTTAAAGGAAGGAAGCTTTGGAATGAGTGTATTCTTATAAACATGGCACCAATACTTTAAACATTTGATATGAGTTTGTGAAACTCAGTTTTTATCACTGTTGCCTAGACGTGCATCTGTTTGATACATTGTTGACCAATGTCAAATGGTCAGTGTTTGCTTTGTGTGCTTTGACTTTGATTAGGGTACTACGTGAACTTTCAGTTTGCAGTTCAAGCAAGGTTCATAAGGTGAGTGACCTGGGTCAGTAGGGACAGGCCTGATTCTTCGAGAACTATTTGTTAGAGAATAGTTAATATAATCTGGCTTGTGCGAAAGAAAAGGTGGGAGAAAATTAATTGGGTTTTAGGTGTGAACTAGACAAGAATTCAGGTTTCAGTTTTGTTTCGTTAATGTAATATAAGAATGTTTTAAATGAACCCTTTGTACTTTATGTAGTGACGTCATTGTCACGTGATATGGAAACTCATCTTGACGGGATGTCTAGGAGTAATTATACGCTTGGCTTTTATTGATGTATTAGCGCATAATGATGATCCTTTGACAACATTAATTAAATGTAGAAACTTGCCTAAATATTATTTCATGTAAATATAAATATAAATGTATACGACAAATAAAAACAAAAGCAGTTAGAGCATTATAGAATGTAAACATATACATAAATGGTTAGATCCTTGTAAGGAACAGAGAATTATCTGATCAACGTGTCGATGGAGATCTATGCTTCATTGAATATGTGCTACACAAAGGGCTACCTGTGCTACTCCCACTGCGAGTATCGAACCCTGATATTTAGCATTATAAGCTCCCAGACTTACCGCTGAGTCACGCAAAAAAAACATGCTTTAAAGTTATGACTGACTAACTCTTGCTTTGTTTTTCAATTTTGTCATTTTGAAAAAAAAGTTTTGTCAACAAAGAGTTACATTTCACCCATTAATCTTTTTTTGTTTTGCAATTGAAACTTCATCAAGGTTTGACAAAAAAAGGTCTTCGATGTTTTTGTATTGTTATATTAGATAGTAAGCTTCTAAAAACTCAAGATAGCTGAAAAATTAAACCTTTCAAGCCTTAATGACGTTGACAAGATAGACATAAATCCTTCTGTTTCTGGTGAAAGGTTAAGCAAGTGACCAGAGAGCTTGCGCCATCTGAAGGCGAATGCACTCCGAACTTGAAAAAAAAAGAAGATAATATTATTGTATGTTCTACTAGCATACAACTTTATCTCCGATAGTTTATGTTATAAGGAAGTAACAAGTTTATAGACCATCCAAACCATCTGATCTTTACCCAAAGTTCCTTCCAACTTTATTTCCGATAGTTTATGTTATAAGGAAGTAACAAGTTTATAGACCATCCAAACCATCTGATCTTTACCCAAAGTTCCTTCCAACTTTATCTCCGATAGTTTATGTTATAAGGAAGTAACAAGTTTATAGACCATCCAAACCATCTGATCTTTACCCAAAGTTCCTTCCAACTTTATCTCCGATAGTTTATGTTATAAGGAAGTAACAAGTTTATAGACTATCCAAACCATCTGATCTTTACCCAAAGTTCCTTCCAACTTTATCTCCGATAGTCTATGTTATAAGGAAGTAACAAGTTTATAGACCATCCAAACCATCTGATCTTTACCCAAAGTTCCTTACGTTTATTTCTTTATCTGAAAGTAAATTCATGTTTCTTGTCTTACCTCAATTATATCTGCATCCGCCACAAAATCCTCACAGCCAACAACGTTGCGTGGCCACGAACAAGATCCAGATGAAGGTTCAAACACTAAGCCTTGGCTGCATTCCCGAATGTAAGGTTTTCCGTTAACACATTGTTTAAAATAGTTGCACTTGAGCTCATGTATAAAGATTCCAAATTTCCTAGGACAGTTCTTAGATCCTTGGGCTGGCTCTGTGGATCATAAACAAGGTTGGTTAAGTTCCTGTCGACTTTTGAACACTTCAATTGTTTTTTACCATGGGCAGAGGGATCTTTGTATAAAAGTTTAAGGTTTTTCGCTGAAGGATTTTTTATGCATTATATATTTACTCATTTAAAAGTTTGTTGTCGATTTTTTTTGGCACAAACAAAATGTCGTAAAACATATACCGCTGAGAAAATCAAATGGTTGCGAATTTAAAGGTGTTGTAGGAGTATGTATATCAGAAACCTTAATTCCCAAGTACTTTGACAGTGTCCCTATTCCTATTGTCTATGGTCCCCCCCACGAACATACATTGGTTTAAATAATACAATATATCACTATATGTTCAAAATTGTATACAGTAATGTAAATTTTATGATATACTGCTTACATATTAGAGAGAATTGTTTATTGGAACTGTACGGTTCCATCCGGGAATTGATAAACAACTTACAATAGCAGATAAAAGAGAACTTCATCCAATAATATATGACCTTAAAAAAAAGGCACCATTCAGACACACAACGCCATCTAGAAACTCAGACTTGCCAGCAGTCAGACGTGCTTTACTTTATAAACTCAGGTAAAGAGTTTGATACAGAGAACTGGAAGTGGTTGTAATCAGAATCAATCTTGTAAAACAACATTCTCTTGGTACCAGGTTGTTTTTTTCTTACTACGTTTACGTTATCCTAAACTGTATTTCTTACGGATAGCAATTCTAATCGTGTATACAGCTGAAACGTTTGAAGAAACGTGCATGCCATCGGTGTCTTCACTTCTCCTTTTAGCACGTTTCCCTTAACTGATTGGAAAAGTGCCCTAATTCGTATCCTGGTGACGGATACACGAATGTAAACGTTTCAGATTTACATTAAGATTTATAAACAAGCTTTTTTGTTAAAAACAACGATAAAAAATGTTTACCGTGTCGAACACCAGAAAAGCTATATTTAATCCTCCTATCTATTTGAAAGTTCCGTTACTTTTTGTTGTTTAAATATTGATTTTTAAGTTACTTAATATTTTACATAGAAGTAATAATAATAATGGTTAATATAACCTTTGAGTCACTTACGCAGTTCGGTTCTGTCTCCACAGTCGACGTTAAATGGATAGTCGCAGCGAGAGTAAAGAGGGTTTTTGATGGGAAAAACGTAGCCATCATCGCACAAATGCTCAATGGGTTTTCCATCACGACATCTATAATACTTGTCACATTGTTTGGGGTCAGGATAATAACCTTCCTTCGAAGGGCATACAAACTGGCTAGTGACTGGAAATATAATATACAGTTTCTAGATATCTTATTGTTATAATGTTTCTGAATGAACTATACCACGTTTCTGGTGATATGGATGAAACTTGATTAATCTTTTTATTAAAAAAACAACAACAAAAACTGACACACAATTAACGCTATTTTAAATTAAATGATCTCATTGACCACTTTGATTCATTGTCATAATCATCAATTAATATTAATTTATTAGAAACATTTCAAAGAGTTATAAAAACTCTAAGACACTTTGCTTTCTAGAGTTAAAAATATTTAGTTTCCCGCCAGCGTTGCGGGTTCGAATCACCGTCCCACTAAATAAAAACATGCTCGTCCTTTCAGCCGTGGGGGCGTTATAATGTGACGGTTAATCCCACTATTCGTTGGTAAAAGAGTAGTTCAAGAGTTGGCAGTGGGTGGTGATGACTAACTGCGTTCCCTCTAGTCTTTCACTGCAAAATTAGAGACGGCTAGCGCAGATAGCCCTCGTGTAGCTTTGTGTTAAATTCAAACCAAACAAACAATTTAGCTTCCATTTTAACTCTTACCTCCTTTTCTAACGTTAAAAAAAATTGGCATTACTCCCAATCATAATTCTTATCTACTTTCTAGCGTTAAAAATGATTTTCTTCCTAATTATTATCCACTATTTTATCGTTAAAACTTTGACTTTCTTCCCAATTATTACCTTTGTTCTTAGCATTAAATAGTTTACTTTTTGGTATTAATTATCCCCTTTTTAGCGTCAGAAAGTTAGCTATCTTCCTAATTATTACCCACTTTTTTAACATTATAAGAATTGTCTTTATTCTCAGTTACTTCTACAAAAAATTGCTTATATCGAAGAGAAAGCGACCTGAGGCAAGATGAGCCTGATTGAATGAGTTCTGGAGGATAAGCTATCATACTGACAAGAAAACAGACCCAATAACACATCTAAATACCAAGAAAGTGGGATTTTGAAGATAATATGATAATGTGTATGTAAGACGGTATGTAGTTAGAATAAGTACTTAGTAATTTTCTCTTCAATTTCGATGGAACAAATGACCATAAACGAAGATACTATATCACATGTTTGACTCATGTTAATGCCTAAAGTAAAGATTTAACACATCTACCTTCTAACATGACAGAAGTAAAATGAGGTAAACTCCTTTTTTTTCTCCCAGAGTGTCTGTCAGAACTTGATAAATTCTGTTATGTATTTCAAATTAGACTTCATATAGGAAAACACAAATAGCCCTTCTTTCTTTTATCTATGTAGGGATAGCACGGATTCCCGTATTAAAGCAATACAAAAGTCACCTGGAGTTTCTTCTCTACATGTCGTCAGAAGCTATATATATCAAGAGCTACCAGGCATAGCCGCCCTATCTCCGCTACATATGCCGCTTTTCAGCTATCTAGAGCGTCCCAAAGTCGAAAACCGGCGAATAACCAAAACTGATAATTCTTATTTTAGTTCATCATCATCTTTATTTAACAGGCCTAGCGCCTACTTAGTTCTAGTAATAACTAAATTTGATCATCATTTGATAGAGCAAAACAGTCTTCAAGAACTTTGACGACCTATTTTATTATTATTCCTTGCAAAATTCTAGTGTAAACGATGGTAATACCTCTTGAAGTTAGCTTTCTTACAGTTCTTATGGTTTCCTTTAAAAAACTTAAGTACAAGGCGAAACGGGAATTACCAGCCAATAATAGATGAGCATTAGATGACTTTAACATGTAGAATATTCAATACTTTGTACACTATACAATCGGTGTCTTTAGGGAGCAAACCCCTACATTATGTATGAAGTGAAGGAGTAAAAATAAATCAAGACACATACAGGTCATCAAAAGGTAGATATGAAGAGCTACCTGGCATAGTCGCTCTATCTCCGGTGTATATGCCGCTTTTCAGCTATCCAGAGCGTCCGTAAGTCAAAAACTGAGAACAATAACTATAATTTTATCATCATTTGATAGAGCAAAACAGTCTTCATGAACTTTGACAACCTATTTTATCATTATTCTATGCAGTATTTATAAAACTTTAGAATGCACTGTATAGCCTAGTAACACCGCTGTGTCACTGGGGGGGGGGGGGATAAGCATTAGGAAATAAATTTATCATTAAATAAAAAAGCTATGCAGGGCTGGCTACTGAACACGAAAAAAGGAACCAAACAAGATAGGGATTCAAATGGGCATATCACTTGACGGCTAATGATCACACTTTGCCATCCTATAGTTGTAGTATAGTTACAATGTTACGAGAACCTCAAGTAGGTTGATACAATGCGTCTATAACTCTCTTTTTTTTCTAGGAAAGAACTAAATATTAAAAAAAAACATTTATGGTAAATACATAATTTGAATACTATTTCTATTGTGGTATCTCGAGAGTGTGGTCAAATTTGCAATTATAATAATTACTGTTATTGTTGTTGTTGTTATATTGAGAGTTTTTAAAATTTATCCGTAAAAGATGCAATATGGCCTTTATGACGTTTTTAGCTGGACATTACATCTAAAATCAGAGAGAAGGCAGAGGATAATTTTAACTGCGCATGCGTGTTTGTGTAATTAAAAAATATGTGAGGAAGTGAAACTGTGAGATGTATAGGCGACAGTGATTGGATTGTATGAAAGTTGAACTGATTTTATTTAAGTTAACATCATTGTTTCTCTTTTATTACCACTGGCAGACATGCGATTGGAGCAGATTGTTAGCAGTAGCGAAATACTCCTAAAATTCCGATAATCGTTGTAAAAATAGTTGTGGTTGCTCAACAAGTAGTTGTTCGCCATAGAGGAATAATTATTTATTGATATAATAAGACAATGAGAAACGCGAAATTGTGGTAATCAAAAATGGTCGCCAGAGGGCGTCATCTGCTTAATGGAGCCACAGTTTAAGTCAACGACGCACTACATCCTTGGGATGACGTGATAGACAACTGAACGAAGCTGTCCAATATTCAATAGGGCTACATGGAGTCTGCAAAGTACGTCAACGTAGCAGGCGATCCAGAATAAACAAATAAAATTAGGTATTCCCATAGCCAAAAAAACAAATAAAAACAAGCATACTAGTTACACCGATATCATCTCTCATATTATTGTGATCCTTGAAAAAGTAAAAGTTTGTTTGTAGTTTGTAGTTAAGCACAAAGCTACACAAAGGGTTAAAAAACAAAAAACATTGTTCATCAATCCAACTGTTGAAATATATAGATCTTTCAACTTTCCATCACTTATGACATTATTTAGTATAGGGACTATTGTGAAATATAACCTTCTACCAATTATGGCCTTATTTAAAGTAGAGATTATTGTACGATAAAACCTATTTTTTACCATTTATGGCCTTATTTAAAGTAGAGACTACTGTATGATAGAACCTATTTTCTATCATTTATGGCCTTATTTAAAGTAGAGATTATTGTATGATAAAACCTATTTTTTACCATTTATGGTCTTATTTAAAGTAAAGATTATTGTATGATAAAACCTATTTTTTACAATTTATGGTCTTATTTAAAGTAAAGATTATTGTATGATAAAACCTATTTTTTACAATTTATGGTCTTATTTAAAGTAAAGATTATTGTACGATAAAACCTATTTTTTACAATTTATGGTCTTATTTAAAGTAAAGATTATTGTACGATAAAACCTATTTTTTACAATT